CCCCCCCCCCCATAGATCCTCCAGCCAGCTCCTGCCTGCAGTCCCAGGAGGTGGCCAGCAGAGGGCAGCGCAGCAGCAGTATGTTCTACCCCCTGTGCTCTGTGGTGTGTAGTTAGCAGGGTCTAGTGGTTAGAGCAGGGGGGCTGGGGGCCAGGACTCCGGGTTCTGTCCCTGGATTTGGGAGGGGGGTGGGGTCTAGTGGTTAGAGCAGGGGGGCTGGGAGCCAGGGCAGCTGGATTCTGTCCCTGGATTTGGGAGGGGAGTGGGGTCTAGTGGTTAGAGCAGGGGGGGCCAGGAGCAAGGACTCCTGGGTTCCATCCCAGACTCTGGCTGGACATCCCGTGCAGCAGCTGAATTAACCCCTTGTGGCTTGTTCCGCTCCCGGGTCCCCTGTTGCTGGGTGAAACCAACAAACTGGCAAAGAGGCTGAGGTGGGTGCTGCAGGGGGTGGGGGGGCACCAATCCCCGCCCCTGACCCGCCCCGTCTCTGCCGCAGCACCGGAGCCCGAGGGGCTGGGGCTGGGCTCCGAGGCGGAGGCCGAGCTGCGGAACCGGCTGGCCGTGCGGGACCGCCGGAAAGGCCGGCGGGAACGACGCTCCACGGGCATGGTGCAGAACGCAGAGGTGAGCGGAGGGGGCCAGGCCCTGGGTGGGCAGGGCAGCGGGGCCACTTCGCCGGCGGGGTGGTGGGGGGAGATCCGGGCTCGGCCTCCCTAGGGGGTAATAACAGAGCCAGGAGGGGGGCTGGGACTCTCTGGGGGGGAATTGTGGGGGGACGAGGGGGCCCGGGATTACATGTAGGTGGTTATGGAGGGCTCATACCTGGGTGACAGGAAGATCCGGAGGGGCGGGGCGTGCTTCCTGGGGTGTCTGTTAACTCCCCCCCCCCCCCCGGATACCCCTTCCTGCCCCTCGGCCTCTCTTTAGGGCGACGAGACCGAGGAGCCGGAGCAGCTGAATGACACCGCCCCGGGATCCAGGTACCTGCCGGCCGGGAGCTCCAGGTACCAGCCGCCCCCAGCATTGCCACGGGGTCCTGAGAGACGCTAAACGGGGGTGAGGGGGTTCAGGCTCAGAAGGGAGACCTCCGGGGGGGGCTCTCCCCTGGCAGGCAGGGCTGGCCCCAATGCCCCAGGGCGGCACAAGGGGACACTAGGCTGCAGGGGGTGCTCTTCCCTGGCAGGCAGGACCCCCCCCACCCCCAATGCCCTAGGGGGCGCTGGGCTGCATGGAGGGGGACAGAGCTCAGTAGCGGGTGCTCTCCCCTGGCAGGCTGGGCCCCCCCGATGCCCATGGGGGCGCTGGGCTGCAGGGAGGGGGACCGAGAGCTCAGTAGGGGGTGCTCTCCCCTGGCAGGCTGGCCCTCCCCCGATGCCCTAGGGGGCGCTGGGCTGCATGGAGCAGGACAGAGAGCTCAGTAGGGGGTGCTCTCCCCTGGCAGGCTGGGCCCCCCCGATGCTCCAGGGGGCGCTGGGCTGCAGGGAGGGGGACAGAGAGCTCAGTAGGGGGCGCTATAGCCCAGCTGTGTTTCAAACTAGAGACCGCCGACAGCCCACCCCAGAGGTGGCTGCATCTCGGTGCCGGGTGAGGACCTGGGGGGTACGGGGGGGGAGCCCGCCCCTTGCAGTAACAGGGCGGTGTCTGTCTGTCTGTCTCACCAGCACGTCCGACCACTTGAACAGCCTCCTGCCCCACCGGACGGACGCCTACGGCTGCGCCAGGCTCAGCAGCGTGGGCAGCGCCGGGGACGAGCATGAATACAAAAAGGTGGGGCAGGGGCCGAACCCCCCAGCACCCTGAACCCCACCCCCTCGTGCTGGGGCATCTGCCCCTCCAAACCTCCCCTTCACCCAAGCACTGGGCTGGCTAGTGGTTCGGGCGGGGAGGGGAGCCAGGACTCCGGGGTTCTCCCCCCGGCGGGGGGGGGGGGGGGGGGGTCTGGGGGCTAGGGCGGGGGGAAGGGCTGGGAGCCAGGACTCCTGGGTTCTGTGCTCAGCTCTGTGCCCCCCCCTCCCCCCCAGCTCTATGAAGATCTCCAGGTGGAGAACGAGAAGCTGAAGGAGCAGTTGCAGGAGACGCAGCTGAAGCTGACCCAGATCAAGCTGGAGCTGGAGCGGGTGACCCAGGTGAGGGGCGGGGCGCCAGGGCTGGGGTGGCACCAGGGGCAGGCGACGGTGGGGAGGGGCTCCCTTCCCTTCTCCCAGACCCCCTGCCCCATGGCCTGCTGGAGGGGGAGACCACACAGCCACCACTGCAAAGGATTCTGGGATAGCCTGCCAGGGCGAGGGTGATAGGAGAGTGGTAGCGTTGTGCCCCAGGGCATTATGGGGGACGAGGGCGTTCCAGGCAGCGTGGGGGCGTCTCTGCCCGCCCTGACAGACTGCCCCCGGGGGGGGCAGGCACCGGGTTACCCGGTCGAATGCCCACGGCTCTGCCGCGTTCCCTGTGGACCCTTGCCATAGCCGGGCTGGGAGGAGAGACCTGGACAGAAAACCCTGGTGAGCTCAGCAGGGGGCGCTCTCCCTTGGCAGGCAGGGCTGGCCCCGGGGCGGCGCTAGGGGGCGCTGGGCTGCAGGGGGTCCAGCAGGGGGCGCTGGGCTGCCATGGGGAGATGGGGTGGGGAGCTCAGCACTGGTGTCTGACGTCTCACTGCCCCTACACAGCCCCCCCTGCAGCTCCACCCGCTGCCCAGAGATGCTCAGTAAATATTGACCCAGGGCGCTGGGCTGGGCTGGGCTGGTCCCTCTCAGCGGCTGCTTTTGCTCTGAGTCACCTGCCGGTTCTCTCCAGCGGCCAGTTATTGCCCCGGGGCGGGGAGGAGGAATTTAAGGTGGATCCTCTGTATAGCGTCGCCCTGGGTCTGGCTGGGGTGGGGGGGGTCGAATCGGGCGTGCGGCGTTCCCCCTCTAGAGGGCGCCGTCTCTCACCCTGTGCTTGGTGTCGTTGGCAGAGGCAGGAGCGCTTTGCCGAGCGGCCGGCGCGGCTGGAGCTGGAGAGATTTGTAAGTACCTGCCCCCGCTGTGGGGGCACCGTGCCCCCAGGGCACGGCCCCCCATCCCCACCCCCAAGCCAGCTGGGGTCTTCACTCTGCCCCCCTGAGGAGTCCACCCTCGGGGGGCGAGCTGCCCCGCCCCCAGCTGGGGCTGTGTGGTCTCCACTCACCAACCCCCTCTCTCCGGCCCCCCAGGAGCGCCGGGCCTTGGAGCGGAAGGCGGCGGAGCTGGAGGAGGAGCTGAAGGTAATTGGATCAGCACCAGACTGGATGGGCCCCTGTGGGTGGCGAGGGGCC